GGCTGTCAGCTGGGTGGCAGAGTTAAGTGGAGCAAGTCCAGCCAAAAGGTGGTACAGCCCAGGTGGGCAGATAGGGTATATGGTCCAGAGCTGCTCATAGCTGGGACATTCTAGCCTGAACATTAGATCCTTTGGCTCATATGAGTAGCTGTCTAGCCTCCCTGAGCCCCCTGCTGGGGTCCATACAACAGGTTCCCCTACTATGAGACCTGTTGCCTGGTCAGGCTCTGGATCTTCTCTTCCAACCCTTCCTTTAAGCTTTTCAGTTCTCTCCTCTGAAGTGCCGGCACCATGACCAGTACCTGTACTCCACAACCACAAGAGGGACATGAAAAAAGTTTCCTTAGTTATGCCCGCTATAATCTCTATAACTTTATTATTGTTTAGATAATAAACGAGCTTCTACCTAGATAGAAATATAACAAGAATATGGATTGTTGGCTTAATAAAGTGAGCTTAGAAGGCTTGCTTTCTCAAACCAGAGCTGTAACATCTATGTTTAAAGAAGCTGAAAAAGATGAAACTGAAGTATCAGGGAGGGCTCTGACTCATGGTAGGAAGACATTTACTTCAAAGACATGGTGAAATTGTAAGCACAAAATGAAAATATGATTAAAATTACCTTTATATATGTAATTAATTTACTTTACAGTGTCTTAGGCACAGATCATTTTATATAGTTTCAGAATAATTTGCTATTTGTTGTGGCATCAATTTCAGACCATTCATTCATAGTTAAAGGGAGAGAAGTTGAGTATTTTAAGTGTAGACATGATGAGTTTATTAAAACCCAAAAGTTGTTTGGTTAGAGCTTTTCAAACTAGAAAAAGTCACTGAAGCATCTTATGCATAAGTTATTGCACTGCATGGACTGGGGCAATGCACACAATAGTCTAGAGATCAATAAAGCCCTGAACAGTTGACATTGCTCAATGCCTACTGAATGGAAAGTTACTAAAATAACTCATGGTAGTGCCTCTTTTCAATGGCACAGTAACTTGTTTATTTAAACATTTAGCTCTAAGCATGAAGACAATTCTTACTTGCATGATTGTACTTTCACCTTATAGACAAGTCTACAGATGTGTCTGGACTTGCTGTTTTGCTTTTAGTCATGTGGTATTAGCACTAACTAAATCTTTGAAGAAGACTTTTTTTCTTTGTGAATGGTTGACAACAAACACAAGTGGCATTGAAATATTGAAAGTGCTGAATAACTTGTTTGAATTTCATGGTTTCTCCTGGAGCAACTTTATTTACATTTGCATGAAGGTACAAAAACAAGGGTAGATAAAACTGTAGGCATCATGATATAAATTAAGGCAGTTAGCACCAAAGTATACCAGTAGCTATTGTATTCTTTTTACTGCCATGTAATCACATTAAAAATTCAATTTCACTTAAGAATGTCCTTGGTGAAGCACTACAAGTTATTAAATCCTGATCCTGGGTTTAATATTCTGTGTGACAAAATAGGAGTTATGAAAAAGTGTTTCTGTTATAAACTACATTATGGTGATTGTATTGAAAAAAAAAAGCACACCCATAATTAGGTTGTGGCTTAACTAGCCACTTCTCAGGAACACCATTTTTGCTTGAAAGAACAACTGATGGAAAAACCATGACTCAATACTTGGGTATTTGGCAGATACTTCTCAAAAATGAGGTGAGCCTTTAGGGTAAACAACTCACAAAATTTGTTGCCAATAATGGTATTTACATTTTTGAGTGAAAATTAAAATATTGGAAAACTTCATTCTGCCATTGTAAGCTTGACAGTTTTCCCAAACTTAAGCTTTGTTCCAATGAGATTAGTGCTGATATCAATGTGATTTTTGATAGTGCAAAAGCTGTTTCAGCATTTGTAATATTCACATAATTTGGTGAACCAATATTTTCCAAGTAAGCAATATGTACAAGATGGGTCAAATATCTATTCAAAGTACAAGATGACTAATGAATTTTCATGTAACAGTATATGAAAATTTCACTGATAACAATTTCAGATTCCATACAGCATTAACCTCTAAGAAACTACCATTTGTAGAGTTTTTATGTAGTATCAAAGAAGAATATCCACAATTATCTGTAAAGGTTATTAAAATACTCCTCCCTTTTCCAACTATGTATCTACGTGAGGTTGGATTTTCTTCATGTATTTTAACAAAAACATCATAACACATTGTAGAGGCTGGTATGAGAAGTAAGCTGTCATTTATTAAGCCAGACATTATAGAGATGTGCAAAAATGTATAGCAATGACATTCTTCTCATGACATTTTTTTTTTGTTTTGAAAAATAGAGTTCTTTTTTAAAAATCACAACATGTTATTTGTGCTAATGTGTACTGGGTTTATTATTCTTATTTTAAGTAAATTAATAAATGTTTTAAAATTTTAGAAATATATTGACTGTTTAAAGCAAGACAATAACAATGTATCATGGGGTTTATAACATATGCAAAAGTAAAATATATGACTACAATAGCACAGGGAATGAAAGGGGAAAAATGGAAGAACACTGTAATAAGGGTGCTATATTGTACATGAAGTAGTGTAATACTATTTGAAGGTAGAATATGGTAAGTTAGAAATGTATACTGTGAACCCCAGAGGAACCACAAAAAATCAAAACAGTTACAGATAATAAGCAAATAAAAGGGACAAATGGACTTAAAAATATTCATTTAATTAAAAAAAAGTCAGGAAAATAGAAAGACACAAGGAATAGATGGGACAAATAGAAAACAAATAGGAAGATGGACTTAAACCTAAACATTTAAATAATTTATGTAAACATAAGTGATGTAGGCACACCAACCAAAAGGCACAGAGTGTCAGACCAGACTAGATAAAAGATCATGACCCAACTATATGTGGTCTACAAGAAACTCAATTTAAATATGAAAACACAAATAGGTTAAAAATAAAGGAATAAAGATATCCACACAAATAATAATAAAAATCACACCACTCAAATAATAGTCAAATTGTCACAGATGTGACAATACTGAAATCAGACAAAGCAGACTTCAGAACAAAGAATATTACCAGAGATAAAGAGCAATATTTCATAATAATAGAGGGGTCAATTCATCAAGAAGATATAACAACCCTAAATGTGTATACATCTAATAACAAAGCTTCAAAAATACATGAAGCCCAAATCAACATCAGTGAAAGGAAAAATAGCCAAATCCAAAATCATGGTTGGAGATTTCAACTTTCTTGGTAATTGACAGAACAAGCAGACAAAATCCGTAGGGATACAGAAGATATAAACAACACTCTCAACTAACCTGACCTAATTGACAATGGTAAAAAATGCTGTCCAATAACAGGAAAATACACATTCTTTGCAAATTGCACATGAAGCATTCATCAGGATAGATCATATCCTGGACTGTAAAACAAATTCCAATAAATATAAAATGACTGAAATCATGCAAAGTATGTTCTCTGAGCACAACAGAATTAAAATGAATGTAAACAGAAAGACATCTGGAAAATCCTAAAATGTTTGGAAATTAATTTTTAAAAACCCATGCTTCTAAATAACTCATCAGTTAAAGAAGAAAATTAGAAAATACTTTGAAGCAACTGAAAATGGAAACATCAAAATCTGTGGGATGCAGCTAAAGCAATGCTTAGATGAATATTTATAGCATAAAATGCTTGTATTAGAAAAGAAGAAAGGTTTAAAATCAATAAACTATGTTTCTATCATAAGAGACTAGAAAAAGAACTAATAATCAATACAAAGTAAGTAGAAGGAAGGGAATAACAAAGATATGAGCAGAAATAATAAAATAGAAAAGAGAAAAATAAAGTCAATGAAACTAAAAGCTGGTTCTTTGAAAAAAATACAAAACTGATAAGTCACAAGATAAAATGATCAGAAAAAAACAAAAAGAAATTAGCAATACTAGGAATGAAAGAGGGGCTATCACTTACAGCTTCTACAGACATTCAAACAATAATAAAATAATATTATAAGTGAATGGGCAAATTCCTCAAAGACAAATTATCAACATGGAAGCCAGAAGAAATAGAAAATCTGAACAGTTATGTAACTATTAAAGAAATAGAATTCATAATTAAACACCTTCCCACAAAGAAAACTCCAGGCTCAAATGTTTTCACTGGTGAATTCTATCAAACACTTAAGTAAGACATAGTATCGATTTTACATAAACTCTTTCAGAAAAAGAGAGGAGGTGGGGACACTTCCCAAGTCATTTTATAAGATCAGCATTGCCTTGATATCAAAACCAGACAAAGACATTACAAGAAAACAACAGGTCAACATCCCTCATCAACACTGACACAAAAAATCCTTGAGAAAATTTCAGGAAACTGAATCCAGCAATATATAAAGAGGATAATATACCGTGACCAACTAGGGTTTGTTCCAGCAATGCAAGGTTTGTTTAACATTTAAAAAGACAACAATTAATGCAGTTTACTGTATTAACAGAATAAGAGGACACCATATGATCATTCCAATAGATGGGGAAAAAAGCATTTGACAAAATTTAACACTCATTTGTGAGAAAACTTCTCAGTAAATTAGGAATAGAAGGGATCTTCTTCAACTTAATAAAGAACATTTATGAAAAAACCTACAGCTAACATCACACTTCACAGTAAAAGATTAAGTGCTTCCCCCTATGATCAGGAACAAGACAAGGATGTTTGCTCTAACCACTTCTATTTAACATCACATTGGAGGTCCCAACCGGTGTAATAAGGCAAGAAAAAGAAATAAAAGTCATGAAGATTGTAAAGGAATAAGTAAAACTTTCTTTATTCATAGATGACATGTTTGTATACATGAAACATGCTAATGAATCTACAAAAAGCTACTAGAGCTAATGAGTTTAGCAATGATACATTATTCAAGATCAGTATAAAATCAATTGGGTTTCTATATTCTAGCAACAAACAATTAGAAACTGAAATTTAAAAATATCATTTATAATAACATTAAAATCATGAAATACTTAGGGATAAATATAACAGAATTTATGCAAGAAGTGTTCACTGAAAAGTATAAACGAAAATTTGAAATTAAGACTTACGAAAATGGAGAGATATAGCAAATTCATGGATTGAAAGATCAAATATCGTTAAGATGTTATTCCTCCCCAAATCGATCTACAGATTCAGTGCAATCCACAGATGCACTGCAAGACTGTTTTACATCAGTAACACTCTTGTATATAAATCTACTTGATTCTTTTCAATGGCTACATATATTCCCTCATATGAGTCACGCATAGTTTATCCAACCAGTCCATCAAAAGTGGTCTGGTTAAGTCAATATTTTTCATTCACTAAATTTTGTTAGTAAACCTATCTGATTCAGACATATACATATACCTAATATGTCTGTACATATACATATATGTATATATGCATACATTATATAACATAACTGCCATACTCTATCCTGGATCATAGGATCCAAATAGTATTACTGGATTACAGAACATTCTTATATATGATAGTCCATAAACTTTATTATACAGAGTGGGTGATTCGCTAAATTAGCCATGTAATGGTCTTTGTATGGGACTTCATGCCACCTTTGGGCTTTCTCTATGGTAGAGATACCTGAGCCAGGCATATGGGCAGGTTTCCTTCCTCTCAGCTTTCCAAGCTGGGCCCAACTCTTCTTCCAGATGGGATTGCTTCTTTATTCCACGCCCGGCTCCCCAGTTCCTGAGCTGGGACTAACTCCTTGATCACTGGCTTTATGACATCACCGGTTTTATATCTCATGAGCACTATGATTGAAATCTCACTACTAATGACTTATAATATTTGTGCTGGGCTTGTCTTCTCAACTCCCTTCCCTCAAATGGCAATCTAGTGTTTTCCCATGGACACATCTGTTTCCTACAGCTGGGATACCTGGTACTTTTTGCAAAGGATGGGTATTTGCTACTGGAAGCCTTTCCAGCAAAAGCCTTCCAATTCTTCCATCTTAAAAAGAGAAGTTTTCCAATGTGAATGTTGAGATGCTTATTATTCAAACACTCATTTATTAAGTTGTTCATTCAATGAATGAACACCAACAAGGTTGGCAGCTAACACTGTGCTAAGCACTGAGGGGGAATACAGACAACCAAAACACAGATGACCAAATGAATGGTATAGACTATGTTATAGGAGTGTACTTGAACCTCTTTACAGGTTTGCCTTTCTCAAGTCTCTCCCTTTTGCAATCTATCTTCCATATGCTATTGAGTAAGCTTTCTAAAAACCAAAGTTCATCTGTTTCACAGAAAAAAAAGTATAAATAAACTCTTTAGTGCAGTGTTCAAGTCTCTTCATAATCTGGCTCCAATTTTCATTCAAGCCTTAATTCTTCCCACTTTCCCTCATAAATTCTGTTCTACTACATATCAAACTTCTCACTCATCCCATGAGGCACCAGGTCTTTTCCAATCCTTGTTCCCTTTGCCTAGAATGTCTTTCGCTCTTCTTCACCTGGCAAACTCCCAATCAACCTCCAAGATTCAGTTCAAAGTCTTGGTGAAACATTTCTTCTATTCTCCTCAACTGTCCTGGATTTTGGCACATTGTTCTGTCGCCTTTATTAGATGGTGAAATTTTTGAGGGCACTGGGTTTACTTTTGCTTGTCTTTGTATCTCTGAATTCAAGTTTGAATAGGGCCTGGCAAGTAATAGGGTCCCCATGAATATTTGTTAAATGAATGAAGAAATAAATGGATGTGAAGGAAGAGCTCAAAGGGCCTTGGTATACTTAGGTAAGGGATTTTTAAAGGCACAGGGCTTGAAGCTGCACCTAGGAAGACAAGAGACAGATGGGGAAAGAACATTTGGAGGAGGAAGATTATTATCCTAGGACACAGAAGAACACAAGCCCAAGACTGAAAGTGAAGACAGTGAGGGGGTCAGCCAGACTGTAGCTGACTGCTGCACTATCTTGACCTTTTCATTGACTAGATTTCTCAATTATATTTTCGGCTCCTGGAAGGCAGGGTATTTTGTACACTCCTTTGTATCCCTTTCATATTTGATGCACATCTCCACAATCATCGTTCCTACTATGCTGTGGTTCTTACTCTGCTCTGTAATATAATTATTTGTGTATCTACTTGTCTCTCTAGAACTTATACCAGCCTCCCTCCCAGGCTGCTTGAGGTAAGAAACGAGATGAGGTCTTAGTGTCTTTGCATCTTCCAAGACACCTAGCATGGTGCCTGCCACACAATGGGTGCTCAGTAAATATTTTTTGATGCACCATTTGTTGATCTGATTACAGAGAACCACAAGGATATTTGTGTGCAACTGTGTATTGTGGCACAAAACTTATATATGCCTTCACACTGTGCAGTCTATTTTTGGCAATTTTCATTAAAATGTTATCTTATTGTACATGGAAGACTGTCATTTCAATTTTCTTCTTTGTTCCTTCTTGGATGACTCACATCTCTTATACCAGAAGGATATGACAGAAGGGATTCAAAAAGGGTTTGGACACATTTATGAACGACAAAGTCATAAATGTCTGGGTATAAGGAGTTGCTGGGAGCATGCAAAGGGGAAGGAGAAAACTTGCATTTCAAAAGTGCCTATTATGTGCCAAGAACTGTGCTAGGCAATTTGCATACATTGTATATTATTTAATCTGGCAGAATATGTCAGCATAAAGACAGGACATGTCTATGTATAAGGCCAAAAGCCTATCTATTCAGGCACATAGCTTCTCCAGGTACCAGAGGCAGTATTCATCTTTATTAAAATTTTATCAGCCTTTTAAGACAGATGAATCTATGGATTTGCATTGTTTCCTAGGAACAGAACACTCGTTCTCAATTCAAGCTCCTACAGTTTAAAACTCCTTTTTGACATAACTTGATCAGTTTTTAAAGTCTCAATGCTTTAAATTACAATGCATTCGGAGATAGTCCCACAGCAATAACAGCGATTACATTTGCTCACAAATGTAATTTGTTCGCTTATCTTTATATTTCATAAAGCTTCCAAATACTGAACAAAGGTAAGTCAAGTCAAGAAAAGAGACTTCTATTAACCCTGACACCAGCAAATTGTCTCAAATTATAGCATGCCTTCTATTTGTATTCTAGACACATTGAGTGGTTTCTCAGAGATACATATTATACTTCATTTGTGGTTAGAAGAAAATTGGAAGGGAATTAGTTTAAGTTGTTTCTAATTTTTAAAAAACTAATAGTAACTTTAAAAAGAATAATGCTCCCAAGTGTACAGATCCTGCATCTGGCAGGAATCAAAACATACCCAAAGTACCATCTCTGCGGGGAATGGCTTGAGAAAGTGGGGCTACAGGTACTGGTTCACACATTGGTTTTATTATAAGCCACACAGTCAATCTAAGCCCTACAACTACACATCTTGATCTGTGATGACATGCTTCCTGCCAGGTGTGGGGATGGGTGGGAAGAGAAGGGGTACACCTTCACATAAGGGATAATCAGCACAGTCACTGGGCTCAGACAGCTTTCTGTTAACCTGTTTTGAGAAAGCTAAAAGAGACATCTTTGCTTCAGAAAGCGTATAGCCCATCTCATCTGACTAGAGAAAATGGCAAAAGTTCAAATGAATTTTCACATTTTAGATGGTCTTCCCCCAACCTCTGTGCGCCACTAAATTGCTGGAAAAACACCAGACACATCTTTGTGGTGATTCTGTGTTTCTTAAATTTTACATTAGTCAAAGAAAACTGAAAGACCAGGACTAACCCCAAAGAACATAGGTGTGACATACCACCTATGGGACTTTTTAAAGATAGACAAGAACCCAGCTTATACATTTTAAAAATTGCTCCTTCTGTTTTGAGACTAGGGGATGAAAATATGCACATATTCCAAAGAGTTCTTTGTGTGAACAGGTGACCCCTTCCCACAGTCTCTGTAATTAATTGAGAAATTAAAGTTAGTTGGCCTTTGAGATCTCTTGTAGAAAAAGGCAGAAGGTCTTGGATATTTTGGAACAAGAGTCCACTATTCTGCCAAGACAGTGTGTTATTGTTATTGGAGTGTCTCTCAACAAAACGGTATTGAGTGGTGAGGACGTGATTTTGATTAGGTGGAATGACTCAGCTCTTCCCCTTAAAGAAGAGAGGACTTGTCAGAGCCTTACTTACCTCATGATCTGGGATCTCAGAGGATAGTGTTTTCCCTAGGATGACCCCGGTCAAGTATGTCCAGCATCGAGCCGTGTTGGCAAGGTTATAGCCTCCTGTCTCCATCAAGAATTGTGAAGTTAGGAAAGAACAGTCACAAAACAGCAGGAGAGGGAAGGAGGGTAAGGAAGGAGAGAAAAATGTTTTAATCAAAGGGCTAAAAAGACAACTTCAACTTGCAGAATTTCACCTAAACGTCGCTTTATGATGTTTTTGAACCACCTAGTAGGCGGACTTTAGTGGACTAGTCAGACCATGCATAGTGTGGAACTAGGAAGTCTGAGGCCTGCAAAGATTAAAGAGGCCCTCATCTCTGAACAAATATGTATCCGAGGATTCCAAGCTCCTCCATTTCATCAAGTCATCAGTAAGATCGAGATCTCTGGAACCCGGATCTCTTGGGGCAACCTACCCAATGTCAAGGTTTCTGTGATGAGTTTTTCAACAATTCTGTAAAATGGCTACTGGATGTAATTTGTATGTTAAAGCCATTGGCAGATATAGCCCCAGAAATATCCAGGAAAGAGAAATGGAAAATGCTGACAGACATAGACTTCCTTCTTTTAATTATCAGCATTTTCCTTTTCTCCACAAACACAGGCCTAGTGGCAGAGATCAAAGAGAATGAGATGAGGAAGGGACTGTTGATTGACGCTGTGACCCATCTCGTCAGGTTCTGTCACAGTCACCCAGCAGCCATATTATACTGGCTAATAATCAGCATATTTTTGCACTGAATAGATGTGTTCTGCCATGCAAGCATTAGAACATTGGCCTTTAGCTAAATTCCAAGAGTGTGAGGATGAAACGGACTGATTTCCTAACCTCAGTGCAGCCTGAGGGAAAGAGAAGCTGGTCTATTTTAGGTACGGTAACCATATAATTTATTGTCCAAATGGTACATTTTAACAGTAAAAGGGAACACTGGGATAACATGTATAAATTGGGATATATGGTCACCTTTCTCTCAAGCCTTGAAAGCCTTTCTCCTTGAAAGGTCAGGGATACTGGGGATTTTGGAATGTCTTTTAGGCCTCAGTGGGGTCCAATGAAGCTTGGGGACATGGCCATCTCCACTAGTTGTCTATGTGTTACTGGGGATTGAGAATTTAAGTGAAATATTACACTTATTACTTTAAACACTCCTGATGTGAAAAATCTGAATTTAGAAGATCAACTTATTGGTTATGATTATTCCAACTTATTGGTTATGACTATTTGATCTCAAAAAGATTCACTTTAGATTTTAAGTAGTAAGCTCTCTCTGGTACATATACAATATGATTTGATTTGCAAAAATTCCATTTACATACAGGAATTTTCAGGAATACACATACTGCGTAAGAAAAGTTAAATATCCAAAAGCCAAAACTTTGGGCTGAGAAAGCAAAGAGACTTTGAAAATGCCAAGTAAAGGCAGTAGCCACAAAGAAAAGTTGAATTTGTGCAGATGTATGTTGTGGAAAGGGCTTTTTTCTTCCCCTTAGTTGTACCTGTATCATCATCAGCATCCTTAGTGCTGTCAAGGAAAGTAATATGTCATACAGTACTTATCAATTTTATCTTTTCCCTGAGTTGAGGTTAATAGATGTCTTGCCAGCTTTTCATAAGAGGTTGCCTCTTGTAAGCACCTGTAATTTTGATCCCTCTAGGATTTGAGGCTGCCAAAGGACCAGGCTTGTGTATTTGTGTTGAACACTCATTCATTTTCATAAGGCCTTCCCACAGCCTCCTCTAATTTGGTTTTTACAACAGGTTGACAAAACAACAAACTATTAGCTGTTCCATAATACATGCATTTTAAGCTCAATCTGCTTGACCATGTTATTTTAACACACCAATCCATTCACCCAGTGAAATAAAGATTGCGCCAGATGGATAGTCAGAAGATTCTTAGCAAGGAATCTTCAAAGGTAGTTGAGGTTGTAGAAAGTACCTTTCACAAATGTGTAAATGCTTCTATTGAATAGACCCAGCTTTCTGTTGGTTAAGTCATACAAAATGTCAGTACACACTGAAGGCAAGGATGCCCAAGAGACTCTAGATCTCTCAATTTTGCTTTATTGTAACAAATCCATGCTTCTTTTGGTGGGGGTTAGGGGGAGAAGCTATTCTTGAATTCAGCTTAGATATTTAAATAATTCATGTATTTACTACTTATGTATGAGTAGACTTAGAATTTTAGTGGTATGTTTCCAAAAGATGATTATTAGAACTGAGAGTCAAAAACTATATTGAGAGAAGATGGATTGAAGTCCACTGAGGTTAATATCTGCTATTCTTAATAAGATCTGATGGCACCTTTAACCAAAGGACCTTTGCTTCAGAAGTGAAACTGAGACTTCAGAGTGCCAAGGAGTCAATGCACATGCCAAGCTGAGGAGAAGTGTGTCACAGTACTTCCTTATGCTGAATTGTGAAGGGGGCAGAGTTCTTTGACTCAGCCTTCTGGATCACAGGCAGGTTGGTATTATCCAATCTAAGAAAGTCAAGTTTTCCTCATGTCAATGGACAAAATGTGGAAGAAGGTCAGCAAATTCTCCTGGTGACCTTCCTTTGTACTCACCTCCTCCCAAAATGAGTGTTGCCAACTGCCACTGAAGGATGTACTTAAGACATTTGCCAATTCCCACTGGAGTCATGTTAAAGGAGCACATGGGATCCCCAGCAATCGTATCAGCTCCCAGCTGTAAGACCACTGCTTTGGGATTAAAGGCTATGTATACCTCCTTTAGTACACTGTAGAAAAGAGAAAGGATAGAAAATGTCAGAAAAAGATAGATCAGTTTGGTCTAGGGGTGGTGGTGGTGGTGGGGCAGTTGGAAGTATAGTTGAGTCAGCAAATAGTGAAGGAAAAAAAGACCCAACTTGTCAAAGTCATCAAACTTTTCATCTAAAAAGGGTGAACCAGACTGTATGTAAATTATACCTTAAAAAACCCGAATCAGGAAAAACATTCCCTCCACTTTCACCTTACCAAGGACCAAGTTTACCCTTATGCTTTAGAACACAAACTTCCTTTAAATATTCATATTCACTTAACTTCAACAGCCACAGGACAGAGTATACATATTTACTCCATTTTACAATCTGGGAAAGTAAGACATATATACTGAACAGTTCTGATAATTTAAGATTGTCAACATACTTGGAGTTTATTATCTAGTTATCAATGGAAACTGCTGAAGAGAATTAACATTCTTTGAAAGCATAGATGTTATCAGCTTACTTTCTATTATGCTAAAGGACTTCTGGGTTATGAAATGTAGCCCTCCCTAAATCATATGTAACCAGAGTCTTATAGAGTAGGACATGATAACCATTGATCCAAAATTATAAATCTGAAAGCACTCTAAAGAACACGTTGTAGTGAGCAATAATAAGGATAATTCTGGGTAGAATCATACAGTGCTATTAAATCAATGTAACAGCTTTTTTTCCCCTGACAGTTAGAAGCATCATAGATGAAAAGGAAGTTGTCAATGTGACAGATGACCTTAGTCAGGCTTCTAGTACTATCATTAATTGAACAATGACACTGTCCAGAATACATTCTTAGGAGTTCTAAGATCCCTCCTCTCAAGGGGCTTACAATCTAGTTTCCAGACAAAACATATACCCGTCCTCATGGGCCTGAGTAACTCTTACAGAGACATATAAACAAGTGCAAATTAACATACTTCAGAGTTGAGAAAATGCAGAGTCAGAAAGTGATAAAAAATGTTGGGGTTAATGACCCCTTCATAATCAACATGTCAAATTATAGCAGTGCAGCAAAAACAGAAAAATTCCAGATCCTCCTAAAACTGCAAAAAGAATTCAAGGGATATAAAATGTTATTCTCCCAAATTCATATGTAACCAGGGTATTGAAACTATTGAAAAGTGCTCAGCTGCAGAGGCATTCTTTGACTCAAAAGACTGTTTTGTTTTGATTTCTCATCTATGCAGACAAATATTGTGTGATTGTGGAAATTATAAGAATATTATAAAACTTATGGCATATGATCCTTAATAGAGAAATACTCAAGCCTATTCTCTTTCATGTGCTTATCCCCTAATGCCGAGGGAAGATAAGCCACCTGAAGAGTTAGCTAACATTTATTGAGCATCTACATGTACAGGGCACCCTATTAGCTGCTATCAGGAGACACAGAAGAAGGCATGATTTCTGTTCTGTAGAGGTTTATAGCTTAACAGGAAGAAGGGGGAGGCAAGAAAGACTGTGTCCTCATTCATTCTTTCCCTCATTTGGCACCTATTTCCTGAGTGCCCTCTGTATGTCCAGCACGTAACTGTACAAGATGCTGCAGGAACAAAGATGAATATGACACAGCTCTTATCTTCATGTGGCTCAGAACAGAGGGGAAGGCTCATACTATGTTAATCAGTAATTAAAATACAATGATAAATGAAGTATCAGAGATGGCACAGAGAAGGGAGTAACTGACTTTTCTAGAAGATGTTAGAAAAGGCTCTACAGAGGTAACTTTTGATTTAGGTCTTAAAAGATAAGAACTACAGTGAACCACCTATTAAAATGGCTAACATGAAAAAATAATGATAACATCAACTGCTAGTGAGGATGTGGAGAAACTACACCACACATAGCTTGTGGGTGGGAATGCAAAATGGTATAGCCACTTTGGAAAATAGTTTGGCAGTTCCCATCAAAATTAAAAATAGACTTACCATATGACCCAGCAATCGCTTTCTTGGGCATTTATACCAGAGAAATTAAGACTTATTTTCATATAGGAACTTGTACACAAATATTCACAGCAGCTTTATTTGTAACAATCCAAACTGGAAGCCACTTAGATGTACTTCAGTAAGTGAATGGTTAAACAAATTGTGGTACATCCATACCACTGGAATAGTGTTTATCAATAAAAAGAAACATGCTATTGATAAATGAAAAAAAAACTGGGATGGCTTTCAAAGGAATTATGCTGGGTGAATAAGGCCAATACAAAATCTATACTGCATGATTCCATTATACACCATTTGTTAAATAACAGTTTGAGGGATGGAGAACAGATTGGAGGTTGCCAGTAGTTAGGGATGGGTGTGGCTATAAAAGAGTACTATGAGACAGCCTTGTGATGATGGTACAGTTCTATATCTTGATTGTGGCGGTGGTTGTGATTATGCAAAGCTACACATGTGATAAAAATCTCATAGAGCCACACACAAACACACACACACGAGTGCATGCATAATTGGTGAAAACTGAGTAAGCTCTATGAATTGTACCAACGCCAACTTCTTGATTTTGATGTTGAATTATAATTGTGCAGGATGTCAACATTGGAGGAGGCTGGAACTTTCTTGTATGTTTCTTTGCAACCTTCTTTGAATCTATAATTATCTCAAAATAAGAAGTAAAAAAGAAAGAGTAGGAAAAGTTTACAGGCATGTGGGGTGAAGATAGTGGAGTTGGCAGCAGGAATGGTTGTGAGGGTTACTGGTAGGAGGCAAGGTTCAGAGAAGGAACTGCACACACAAGAGCATGACGGCTTGAAACAGGCAGCGGTGGGAGGGAGGCTAGTGAAGTAAAACAGGGTTAGGACACATGGGACCAGATATGCCAGGCAGGCTAATGAGTGGGGACTTTTACTTCAAGAGTATGGAACATCTCAAACATTGTGTGTGTCTGTGTGTTTCCATGCATGTACGTGTGTTGGGGGAATGATCAGATTTCCATTTTGAAAAGATACTCTGGCTATAGCATAGGATATACTGAAGGTTATCAGGGGACGTTTGCACCCATCCAGGCCAGTGGCAGAGAGGGAAAGGAAGAAGAGATGGATTTGGGGGACACTTCTAGGGTAGAATTGAGAGGGCAGCACATACTGACACACAAGAAAAGCATATATATAAAACATTCATGAGTGTTTTGTACTAGGACAGAGAAAAGGATAAAGGAAGGCAGGTGTTTCTGGGACAGCTGTTTGAATGACAGCCAGGAAGAGAAAACGAGTCCTCAGGGAATTCTGATGAGGAGGGCTCTGGATGGCTAGAGAAAAGGGTAAATTAGAAGCCTTGGAAAAGGTAAGGTATTTTGTACACAGTGTAAACATCAAGGCCACTGCAAGTGAGGACAGCTTCCATGTGAGGGCTACATGGTGGACACTCTTAAAGACTGAAAATTTCCATTTGGTTTGACAGTCCAATGGGAGTCACTGGAGAAGTATAAGGACTGATGTTGCTGAAAAATGATGCTTAGGAACTCTGATTTTTGCTGTTGCATGGAAGGCCAAAGAGAGAAAGTCTGGAGGCAGAGGGGTTGGCAAAAAGGGTACTGAAGCATTCTAAGCACAAGAGCATCAGGAAGCAAGGTAAGATATAGTTGGAAAAAAATGAGAGGGCTAGGTGACAGACTGGGTGGGGGTTGGGGGCGGAGAGAGTAGAAAACACACTGTGCCAATTCCTCCAGAATTCACAGGAGGGGGAAAGAGAAACTGAAATATTCCTTCTCCTATTGCAACTTCCAAATCCGGTGTTCTTTCCTCTCATCAATCTCGCCTCTTTTGAGTCAATGTCATTTGCTTATACTACTCAAACAGTAGCAAACATCCTAGCTAGAGACCTACTGCGAGGTACTCTTTCATCGCCCTTAAGGACTTCAGCACCTGGTTCACAAGTTTTTCTGTCTCTCCCTTTCCCTGTCATTTTTCTTTGCAGTTCACTATTCATTTGCTTACTCACATCTTGATTCAAGCACCTCTTCCTACCTCTACTGGGCACTAGAGATACAGAAATAAGATCCAAGGAGCATATTGCACAGTAGGGAAAGAAGACAGGAAAACAAATAACTGTGATCAGTGCTATAATATACATCCACTCATTCAAAAAAAAATGTTAAATAAAAGCCTACTGTATACCAGGCACTACGTTGGGCAAAGGGTTTATTGAATCTTTTTTTAAAAAGATTATTTATTTATTTATTTGACACAGAGAGAGAGCACAAGCAGGGGGAGCGGCAGAGGGAGAGGGAGAAGCAGGCTCCCCGCTGAGCAAGGAGCCCGACAGTGGGGCTCAATCCCAGGACCCCAGGATCACGACCCAAGCTGAAGGCAGACACCTAACCGACTGAGCCACCCAGGCGCCCCGGGTTTACTGTATTGAAGAGACCTGCCCCTTCCCCCTGTTACCTTTCTAATTCTCTGAAATCACAGTTTCTTCACCTTTTGAACAACAGTGATGTCCACGTGCACATCACTGTTATCTCTAGGCACAGTCATGCTTTGGGGCCTAAGGAAGTGCTTGGAAATGCTCTACTTCTAACACCCTGAACTCTGAACTGCTTTTTCTGTGTACAATTTTCTATCTTTCTGTCGAACTTGTTTTTTATTCTCATTTTAACTCCCATTTCCTTGTCTTCCTCCTATTTTCAAAGTCCACCAGTTTATCTTTTGACCTCATCTGCTTCACTACTCATCTTGGAGAATATGATTAGTCATTTCAAAAACTCTTATTAGCATACTTAATTCCCTCACACCTTTGTCATTTTTGCCTTGTCAATCCTTAAGCCCTTGGATAAACCACTGTTAGTATTTTCTGCTCTGTTCTGCTGGAGAAAACTGAGAAGTTAGGCCAATTGCTCCCTCTATAGTTTATGCTTATGACTCCAATTCAACAAATTCTATAAACATTTATTGAGTGATCGATATGTACCACTCCCTCTGTGCAGCTTGGCAATTATTTGCTTCACCTCTTGTTCGTAAACAATTACAT